TCATTCCTTTGTAGTTGTTTTCTTGCCATTCTGGTACAGATTTAGTGACAGATTTCAGCTCTTGTAGCAGGCCAGTATAAGCCAAGGAGGTAGTATAAAACTAAATGGATATATTAAAGAGAATAAAAAAACTATGAAACCTGTTATCTAGCAAAATTCTTGGGATAAAACCATGACCTGAAAATACAGAAGTCTTTGCAAAATGAATTCCTGCAGAATCCCTCTGGAAATGGGAAAGAACATGTTTGATTAAGCCAGTGCTAACCTTTTGAAATCATGTTTCTTTGATATTTATTCCTTGAAATAATAAAAGGGGACATGTCAGATGTTGGAGAGCCATGATGTACTCCCTTGCTTGCTACTGCCCTTTTCTAACTTCAGTGTTCCTCTCCTAGAGCAAACTTCTTAAAATAAAAAGTAAGGCCTCGTTTTGTCCTTTTAGTTGACCTTTAATACATTTGGTGGCTGTGCATTTGCACCAGTTAAATTAGAGAGGAAGGAAATTTCCATCCTTTTTTTCTTCTCTCTCAGAAAGCCCATGCCTTGGGAGGGCTGGCACTGGGGGTCCAGGTGTTACTGGACAGGGGAACAGGTTGGACACAGTTTTGCCATGTGTGAGGTGACAGGTCAGGTCCTTGGCAGGCAAGTATTTTCTGCCTTTTTTGTAAAAATGAGTAAATTACTTCCACCCTCACATGTTGCTATGCTTTGTATGAGAGCACAAAATCGTGTATAATTTCCCCCAAATTGCTCCCATGGTGATAATGGAGGAGTTTTCTCCCTGGGCACCTCAGTGAGATGTTTGTGTTGGGAATTGCGTGTTCTGTGCTGTTAATGAATACAGGGGGAATTTAATAACTTAAGGATTCAGAAATGTGCAGGGTGTCTTGGGAGCAAAGGTTTCCCTTTCAGTTCCTCCACTTCAGTGTTTGCATTTGCTGGAAGTTTGGCAAGGATCTGTGCCCTTCCACAAAGGAAGATCCTATGGCTGAAGCCTGGATGTTCCTGACAGAGAAACACAATTCACTTCATGTTTACCAGGGGATCAACACATCACTTCAGGAAAATCCAAAAAAAATGGTACCATGTTAACACACTGCAGGATACATGTTTTGTTTTAACCTATATCTGAGATCAGTACAAATAATTTTCTTGTGGATATTTTTGATGTGATGCTGAATTATTCAGTTAAATTCATGACTAATCTCTGGCTTTCATTTTCCCCCAGTCTTTATAAAAATGCCAAATAACTACTATAATTCATTAAACAGGAAACAGCTTGCACTGTATATGCGGACCTTGCACCACATGCCTTAAATCTTTATAAGAATAGAATGTGGTGTAAAATATGAGAAAAATGATTTTTGCTGGATCTCTGTGGAAAATAGAGAGTAAGTAAGAATGAAACAATTAAGATAACTTTAAAGTCCTACTTATATTCCTATCATAATAATATTGTTGCTAGCTGAATAAAATCATACTCTGGATTGCTTTTAAAGGTGTTTCATATTGGTTTTTGTTTCCTGTCATAATATTGTCTTACCAGTGAAATAACTGTCCTTGATGAGTCTGCCAAGAGGAAAACTGATTTGGTCTCACGTTGACCCCTGTTTTGTTCTGGTTTAGCATTTAATTTTCATTTAACAAAAGGTATGCTACTTAACAAATGTTTCTTACCTTAACTGACCAACTCTTGCAGCTTTTTCCCTAGTAGGCACAAAGTCCTGTCAGGGCTTAGCTCAGCTGTTACAACAGCTGTGAATATACCCCGCTGATCTCATGGAAAAACCAGAGCCTGGAAACTAAGATGTCGTGAAAACAGCTGAGGATGAGGTTTTTGAGAGAAATATTCCTGTAATTTGTTGGAACTGGGGAAGTGAAATGTGCAATTCTGACAACAGTGACAGATTTATAGACTCAGTACACTAATTAAAAAGCAACTTACTCTAATATATTAATCTATAAAATGACAGCAGCAGAGAGAGCTGCTCTGTTTTGTGCACAAGTGTGAGAACATTGAAGTGCCCTTCTCCTGTAATGCCAGAATTTTATGTTGTGTACAAAAGTCAAGGATAACATTAAGCAAGAAGCAATTGGAGGATTCCGTCCTTCCGGTGTGAAACATATGGGGAGATGTTTTGCCATAAACTGTACGTTCATGTGCAAGACAGAAAGAAACAAAAAGTTTGCATTTGTTCTTTCCTTTCCCTTTTCATTGCTGTTTTTTGTTCACATGTGCTGGGGTAGAATCCAGCTAAGAATTTAAAGCAGAAAAAACAAATAAAGCCTTAATCATATTTCCACAACTTCCATGACTAAATTTTTGCTCATATCAGTGTAACAATTTTCATGCTTTGAGATTTATCTGTGGAATTCATCTGTAACATGTTTCTTGCCCTTAATAAGTGGCACCACTTCCTTGCATCCTCCACCAATAATCTCAAGAACTGGGAACACTGAGGAGAGAAAAAGAGCATATTTCTGGTGTGCATTTCAAACACCTCTGATATTACATCTGTATTCCTACTTCAGCAATGATTTAGATGGATGTCTGAATAGATGACAAGATGACAGTTAAATGAAAATAACTGAATAATTTTGGTTTTATACAAACATCACTCTGGTTTGCATTTGAATATAGAAAAGCAGAACTTAGTATTTTGTTACACATATATAATTTAAGTCTCTATAAAGCAGAGGAATAATAATGCTTTTTGAGAAGAATGTGGAGCTTAAAAAAAATCCCAAATGATGTAGATGTTTAAGGATACGATAGTTCAATTCGTTACAGTTTTATTTATTTATTTGCTGTTTTTTCACAAAACCTCCTCGTTCCCTACCCCCAGTTTAATGGATATGTCCTTGAATATTCTCTTATAGGCATTTAAATATCTACTGAAGTTCCTAAGGCTGCAATTTGCTTGTAATCTTCCATCTGTTTCAGATTCATTGTAAACACACACAGTCAGGTCTTCAGCTCCATAAAAGCACCAAATGAAGTCAGTGCAGTTACATGGGATTTCTTCAGATGAGAATCTCGCTTGTGATATTTGTGTCTCCACTTTTCTTGAACCCAAACTTGTTTTCAGAATATAATTACAGCAGTTATTTTTCACCATTCCAATCACAAATTGATCTTAATTGGCTGGTTTTGACTGGCCTTCACATTCACAATTACATGAAAAGGATTCTTGAAATATGAGTGTGACCTTTACAGAAATGTTTAGTCAAAACTCCTTTCATAAACTGTTTTTTTCTAACAAAATGTTTACAGAAAGAAAGGATTTATTTTTAGTACTTTTCTTTTGTTGTCAGACTCCTGCAGTGGTGACACAGGGTGTTGTGCACAAGACTGTTGTTCATTGCCAGGGAAGATGTCAAGGACTGCTCTAGGTTAAAAATCTGTATTTACTTGTTAGAAAGGTCACACTTGGAGATGTCCATGTTCATTGTTTTTTGCCCTCAAATACTTCATCTTCAGTTGCCTCATTGGAGAAGTTCCTTGTCATGCATGGAGGACCAAGGTGTATGTATTGTTTGAAAGAATTATTCCACTGCATTAGTAGCCATAAACCACATACAGAAATGGGGGAGAGTTAAAGGATATGGTGTACCTAATCCATTTAATTTACTGTAAATCGTTTCACAGGATATTTCACAAATAGAAACCTGGATTAGATAAGAGCTGGAGAAGATAACTGAAGTGATTGACTTTGCATTACAATATTTTTTATGTTCAATTAGGAAGCTGCAGCAAAGTTGCATTTTCTCTAGATATCTAATTTACTTTGTAATAGTAAATCAGTAATTAAATTACTAAATGCTGACTCTGAGCAGATTTTCTGTGTGCTGGGTTTCTTTAGCCGTAAATGTCCCCAGATAAAAAGCTCGTTTGCTTGTTTTTAAGTATCTAGTGCAGGTCACCAGGAAACAGTTCCTAAAAGCATTCAGAAACCAAATCTTCCCAATTCAATTCTTCTCCAAAATGAGCTTTATAACATTTGTATTTAACCCAAAACCACTTCAAATCTGGCACTGACATTCAGAATGTCATCTCTGAGGTACCAAAGAAGCCATGGCAGATGATTTCATTCCCACCAGCAGTGTGTATTTTGTACCTTCAATATTAGTCTTCATGGTCTGGCACAAGTTGTAAGACTTTTATTACTGTCAAGCCATATAAAATCCAGGTGTCAGCTTCTTAACACTCGGAAAGTAATAACACTCCTCATCTTCTATTAAAAAAACATAGTTTGCCTGGAACAGATTTACAGAGCTTGCAGAGCTGAGTTACCACTCTCACTAATATTTGTATGTTTAACACCACCTTGCCAGGAAACTTAAATCAATTAATCTGTTTCTGTTCCCTGCAAGTGTAAAATAGGATAGCAGCTAGCGAGCATGTTCATAAAACTCTTTAAATTAAATGCACTGTATGTGTCTTTCCTCTGAAGCCTGCAGAATAAACCTTGAATGATTCATTTCTTACTTTTCAATCATAAGCTTTTGTTTCACCAGGAGTTCATGCTTCCTGTATCTGAAAATAATGCACATAAGTTGTTGTTACTGGTCAGGAATAAATACTGAAGTAAAATAAAAATAAAGACTTATACAGCTTCCTGTGTATATTTGGCACTCTAATAATTCTATGTCAGTGTCGAATGTAAAATTCAAAAATAAATGTAGATCTCACAGCAACTTAGTAAAAGTAGACCAATGGAAATGTTTGTAAATTTAGTGCCAACAAAATATATTGTGCTGCCTATTTCTGATAGATGTTGTTAAAATAAGCAGCACCTCTGTCCTTATGTTGTATGAAATAATATGTAGTATTTATGATCACTGTGGCTTAGTAGTGGTACAAATAAGTCACAGAAAGTTAATGGAATGCAAAGGAAGTGTGGTAACCATGGTAGAACAAGAGAGCAGAAGAATGAGAGATTCCATTTCCTTCAGCCTTGTACCAAATTACTCATCTTTTGCTGTGTTTGGTGTTCTAGGATGTGATGTCCACGTTCTTCCAGTTTGGGGCTTCCATCCAGCAAGAAGCCATTATCATGCTGAAGATCATGCAGGATTATGACTGGCACGTGTTCTCTCTGGTGACCACCACTTTCCCTGGATACCGAGATTTCATCAATGTCATTAAGACCACTGTGGAAAATAGCTTTGTGGGCTGGGACATGCAGAACGTCATCACACTTGATACTGCCTTTGGAGATGATGCCAAGACTCAAATTCAGCTGAAGAAAATCCATTCCTCTGTCATCCTGCTCTACTGCTCCAAGGATGAAGCTGTCTACATTCTGGATGAGGCTCGCTCCCTGGGCCTTACTGGCTATGATTTCTTTTGGATAGTTCCCAGCCTGGTTAGTGGTAACACAGAAATCACTCCCAAGGAGTTTCCTTCAGGACTCATTTCGGCAGCTTATGATGAGTGGGACTACAGTTTAGAAGCTCGGGTGCGGGACGGCCTTGGGGTCATTGCCACTGCTGCCTCAGCCATGCTGGAAAAATACTCCTCCATTCCCGAGGCCAGAACGAGCTGCTATGGACAACTGGAGAAAAATGACAGGCCCTTTCAAACCTTGCACAAGTAAGGCTTGTTGGTTTGGGGTTTCTTACCTTGGTAGTTTTCTATTCTATGTGTTTCTTGAAGGAGAATATTTTTTTTCTAATCTCATCGTGCCTTTTTTAAGCAATGATTTTCAGATGTTCCAGGAGAATGTGCAAGAGGACTTGCTGCTCTGGTAATTGTGCTCCTGGAGATGATGTTATGTGCTGTGGAGAATAGATACTGCTCTGAACCTAATGTAGAAGATGACAGAAATTGGTCTTAGAGGGTATAAAGCTGAGTTAACAAATTTGGGCTGTTGTGTACTTATGAGGTGAAATTACCAAAATGCTCTGGAGGCTGTGCCTGAATCACTTGCATCAGCAGGAACCTGGTAATATTTTAGAAGACAAGCAATGTGCAGCATTAAAGAGGATGTTGCTGGAAATTATAGAAGTATTAAATTAGTTAGGCAGTTTTTATCACCTAAGAACTGAAATCTGTCACTTCTACTTGTGAGGGTTTTGGTTTTGTCACCTCTGCTAGAATAACTGCAAAATTAATCTACATTGATCCGAACTGATATAGATATTTTCTCAAAACAGCTGGTCAGATGGGAACTGCCAAGGTTTAAATCAGGATTCTTTTTTTTTAATTATAATTTTGTTTTAATTATCCCTTTCAGACGTGATGTTCCTGATTACTTATATCCAAAAGTGTTGCATAATATATATTACACAGTAATATATTTTTTTATCTGGTCTGTGAGAGGAATTAAAAGATATCTTGCATATTTTTTAATAGCTCTTGACAATATCTCATATGGAAGTTACTAAGCAGTATTTTTGAAATTTGTTCTGACCAAATAGTGCAGATGAAGCGCTTTCTACAGAAAAACAGGATGGAATTGGCACAGGAAGGAAAGTTGGTGCTGATTTCAGATAGATTATGGAACAGTTTTAATCTTGAGTTGTATGTGCACATTTAGGTTAGGAGCTGGTTACCAGATGATGTCCTGGAACAGCTGTCCATGAAAACAGCATCTTTGTACACAGAATTCTTTAGAAGCTTTCTTAAAAGCCAAATTCTGCAAAGTATATGAATTTGAACATTTCATACACGTATTTTTCAACAGTTGTACAGTTATCCTTAAAGAGAACTTGCCTTTAGGTTTTTTTGTGTTCCCTTTCCTGTTTGTTAGCCTCTGCCTCTAAAACTGCAAATTCTCCAGAGGCATTGCAGAAAACCTGTGATTCTTTTCCTGCTGCCCCATTTGCCCCTGGAAGTGGCAGGAGACAGCACTGGGGTGGCTCTGGGAAAGCCATGGCAGTGTCCCTCATGTCAGGGCAGAGCAGCTGGGAGGCTCTCCTGGAGTGACTGTTCAACCTGCACCCAGCCTGGGAGCCTTAAAGGGTGGCTCTCAGTGCATGTGCCGGCAGTGCCAGGTGGAAGTGGAAGCTCATGGCATCCTCTCAACCAAATTCTGGACCTTAAACTGGGATCTGATCTACAGACAAGGAAGTCCAATATTAATAATTGAACTCCAGTTTCCTGTAAAAGTTAAATTGTGTTCTGTCATCAGAAGGGTTGGTGTTTAAAATACTGTGGTTCAGCTGGTAGGGGCACAAAAACTTGAACCTGTTTTGGAAAAGGCTCCTACCCCACTGTCTGGGTAATACACTAATGTAGATCTGAATAAGGTATTCAGTACTCAGCACAAGCTGTCTTTCTTCAAACAATCTTTATTTTCTCATTAAGCATTTGGACATTACTCTCGGGCACATTGTGTGGCCCTTGGGGTGTCCTGTGCAGGGCCAGGAGTTGGACTGGATGATCCTTGTTGTTTCCTTCCAACTCACATATTCTGTGATTCTGTGATTAAATCTTCATGACTACAGGAACAGGGTTTGTGAGTGTTAGGGCAGTGAGATCAGTCTTTACCAGGAGATTCTGCAGTGTGCAGTGCATGGTGCACATAGAAATTATTAATAGGAGAAGTAGTGCACTCTGGTTAATCAAGTCACTTCCCGATGTGAAAAACTGAACTATGAAGGAGAATAGATTTTTGGTACTGGAGATTCTTTGAGCTTCCCCAACACCACAAGAGCAAGAAGGCTGTTTCTAATCTAGAAATGTCAGAATTACACTAAAATGAATAAACTTTAAATAGTACTTCTTATGTAATAACTTCCCAAGACTATTCTTGTCACATATAATCTGCAAGAAAGGCAAGTGTGTGCAAGCATTTATAGTACTAAGTAATCTCTGGGAGCTGACCAGTCTCTCCATGCCAAGTTGAATTACATAAATTCATTGTACTTTCTCATCCCCATCACTAAATTGTGGGTTTCTTCTTTATGTGACAAATCAACGCCTAAATTGGGGTTTTATTCTGAAGTGTAATCTTCGCAGTTTCAGGTCACAGATAGTGCAGCTTTGTATTCTAAACTGCAAGTGTATATGTGCTGTATTAAGAGGCTGACTTGAACAAAGGATTTTGGAGCAACCTCACAATGGAAAGGGCTAAAGTAATTGGAAACAGCTTATGGACCTGGGATCTGCTGTACTGTGCCTCCCTGTTCATGCAGAAAATCGGGGTTGGAGAAGTAGGGTTGAATGAGAGGACACAGCCTGCAAGCTCAGAAGCAGAGAACTCAGAAAGCAGGGAAAAGGCTATGTAAGGTGATGCCTGAGCAAAAAAACCTGGAGAATGGAGGAAAAAGCCAGAATTTTTAGACTCCTCCTTTGTAATGACAGTCTAATTCAGCTTTAAACTGAGTATAGTATTTTAAGACTATGCCATAATTGCTAATTTGCTTGTAAATGGAAATTGGTAATGCTTTATGTGCGACTTCCCACATCTAGATAGCAATTTTCATCTCCATTTATGAAGAAATTCTATGTAAAGAAAGCCATGAAGTGAAAGCTCCTCCTCCCTCTTTCTCAAATCCTTTGAGTATTAAATTGGTTTGAAGATATATTTGTTTTGAAGCACACAATTTATCTTTCCTCTGTCACTGCAATTCTGAGATGCTTTTATTGGCTTTCTAGATCCAGAAGAAAATCAGGTTTGCTTTAGTTTTTGCAATGATTTGATCAATGTTCATTTCTGATACACATGGGAAAACTAGTTTTCCCCTGTGAATAAAGGATTTATAATAAAATACAGGGCTCATTTTCAATGCATTAAAAACATGGATATATATGTGTATTTCTATCTGTATTGATTCAGTTCATCTTTTCCTATCTGTGTAAGACCCAGATCTCCCAAGGCAGAAAACCGCTGTTGTGTGAAATACTGGAGCAGCAGGATAAATAGAATTAGCACCTCATTAATGCCATGTCAGCTGAACAAATGCTTGCTCTTTCTCAAAAAAAGGAAAACACGCAAGCAAACAAACAGCATAACACAATAACCGTGCCAGTCATCACAGAAAAGGCTGCTACCTTTGAATTGAAATGCTGCTGCTTTGTTTAGAAGAGTACTCAGGGTGTGTATAAAAGTCACGACCCTGGGAGATACATTTCACAGCAACGTTTCCAACCACACTGATCCGTACAGGAAGGGATGAGGATGGCAAAGCTGTTGCTCTGTTGCCATTATCCTCAAAAAACCAAAAAGATGTGTCTGTCCATAGGCAGTCAGGTGTTTACCACACAGGGTGCTGATGTTTAGTTACATTCAGTTCTGAAATACAGGCAAATAATAGGCAGGATTTGGAGGCCCATCTTTAAGCAGTGAAGGTGTAGGTCTAGAAACCTGGTCCCAGTCCTCTGGACAGGCTGTCACATCCTGCCCTTTCCAAGCACAGTTTCCTTTATTTGTCATCCCCGAGCAAGCAGCAGCAACGGGAAGTCCAAAGGGACAGGTACAACAGCTTAGTTGATCCTGACCTGAGTGACTCTACTTTAAAAACTAAGGGACTCTGTGGGGAGAGTGTTTTGAAATGTCAAAACAATGCCCAGCATTGCTCAATTCCATGGACAACCCCGTGGTTCATTTCCTTGTCCTTGCTGTTGTGCTGCTCTTAGGATTCAGCACAACTACAGCAGCATTCTGTCCACAGGGCAATGGCTTTGTTGTCCCTCCAGTCCTGACAGTCATCCATCAAGTTCAGTATTTTGATTCCAGCTTTTAGCATGACAGATAAATTTGCCTCTTTTGAGCAAAGTCAGGCATTAAATGGACACAATGGTTTGATGAATAATCCAGCAAATCTGTTTAATCTTTTCCTGCATACAGATCAACAGCCAATTTATAGAGGATTTGTTCATTTAAGTCAGAGGACTTAGGAACAATAAGTATCATCTTCTTTATTGTATGATTGAAGGTGCATAAATATTTAATTACACATGAAGAAAAATGCTTTTTTACCAGTAGCATATTTGCTGTGCAGAAAAACAAATGATTATTTATTTCCACCTAAGTATTTCCTGGGATATTTTGTTTGTCTTTCCCGTTTTGTGATCCCACTGAGGTTTTACTGGAGCCACTGGGTGCTCATGGGAGTGCACTGTATACAGGGTGACGATCTGATGCTTAAGTGTCATGGAGGGAAACAGCTAATTTGAGCATACTTTCAATTTAGTAATTCACTTTTGGTAGCTTTAAAGCATGAAGAAGTTTCAGGTTTTGCTAGATGTGTTTATTCTTCTCCTTTGCTACTGTGAATGCTGCTCTATGGAAACAAATTCAAATGAAAATGATGTACCAAGCTGCCAGTCCTAGATTTCACGTTAACAACTGATTTCAGACATTCTGAATTCTAATAAATTGTTATTGTCAACATGAAAAAATGAATTAGAAAATATACTCAGAAAAAATTTTGTCAGTGGCAGGATCCCACTTTGCTCCTTCATTTGTGTGGGGATTCTCTCTCATCAGGAGACCCAGTAGTATTGTAGCAATTGGATTGGTACACAGGGATGCACAAAGTCTAATTTACTGCTGATGAGCAGGTCTTAAACATTAACAACCAAATACTTGCACTTCTTTGAGTTCATGTGCTGTAATTACCCTCTTCTACAGTCAGACAGCATTT